CTCCCTCTCGCTCCCCTCTCCCTCTCCCTCCCCTCTCCCTCTGCCTCCCCTCTCCCTCTGCCTCCCCTCTCCCTCTCGCTCCCCTCTCCCTCCCTCTCCCTCTCCATCCATCCCTCTCCCTCTCGCTCCCCTCTCCCTCTCGCTCACTCTCCCTCTCGCTCACTCTCCCTCTCGCTCCCCTCTCCCTCCCCTCTCCCTCTCGCTCCCTCTCTAGGCCATCCAAGCTCTTACTTTACAGCGTTGGATTGAAGAATGACTTGATTTGGAGGAGTAAAAGAGAAGGAATTGATTTTATCTTGTCGATTATCCAGGCTGGTTCAAAAAATCACTGGTTCACCTGAGGCTGTTGGAACGACCCATAGAAATAAAAGAAAGACTGAGAGGCTACAGGACAATAATCCTGGATTATCTCCTGGCCATGCTGTGATCGATCTCAGGCCTTCAGAATTAGACAGGAAGAGAAGGAGCCTGTGAAAACCAGATGATTTATAAATTCTATCATCAGACCCAATGTTCGAAAACTTAAATAAGAAGGATGAAGAAAAGGAGAATGAGGCTGATATGTTTGGTCAATCTTCTTTAATAGAGATGAAACAAATAGATCCTGGATTGAGAGAGTTATACCAAACAGCCTACTGAGATATTGAGTCAGAGCCAAAGAGATGGTATGTGCCTTTAAGAAGAATCCCTGCAGTGTGGGAACAGGCTCTTCGGCCCAACAAGTCCACACTGACCCTCAGAGCATCCCACCCAGACCCATCCCCCGATAACCCACATCCCTGAACGCTACAGGCAATTCAGCATGGCCAATCCACCTAGCCTGCACATCTTTGGACTGTGGGAGGAAACCCAGACAGACAGTTGCCCAAGGGGGAATTGAACCCAGGCCCCTGGCACTGTGAGGCAGCAGTGCTAACCACTGAGGTTCTGTCCTATTTCTCTTGAAGAGAAGGTTGTAAACCTGGTGCCGAGGTGTCTGCTCCACAGAAAGCAGAGTAAATAGCTTGAAGAAGCATGAGTGGATGGAGTCAGGCTCACTCATGCCCAGTGTTTTAGTTTTGCTTTCCGTTGTTGAAGTTGGGGTTTTGGACTTGAAGCCACCAGATACAACTCTCTGTCTGGTGCTGCAAAAAGCTTGAGTTCTCTTTCTGCGGTTTCTGGGCTCCGGGCAATAGCAAGTGAAGGAAATCCGTTTTGGTGAATTTGCCTTTGCCAAGGGTGTGTTTACGGGATGCTGCTTTACTGGATTAGTTGATGAGTAGTAGTTAAATAATATATTATGTTGTTAAGCATTTTGATAGAGTTAAAGTTATGCCAATTCTTCATTTTTTGTTTGTATTTTAACTGCGGTGTAAGAATAAAGTAAGTTTTTCTTAAAGCCTAGCAGGGCGATCTATCGAATCACATTTGGAACACAGCCCCTCACACTTGCCTGTAAGTAAGATAAAAGTTAGGGTTTAGACTAGGTCCTCGAAATATTTTGAGCGGATTTGGTCAGCTCCATAACATCAATAACGGAGTGTATCATTTGAAAGGCAAAGTCTGAATGAGAAATTGGAAACAATCTCAAATACCAGCCCAGTGTAAAATGAGCAGTAATCAAACATTCAGCGTTCCATCTGAGCATCATTAAAACATTTTATGATTGGCTTACAAAATCCCAATGACAGGTCACGATGGAATTAGGAATACACAGGCTAAGATCCTGAATGGCCAGGGTTATATGGTCAAATAGACATTGGCAGGCCATGGGGAGAGCCCATACATAGATTAAACCCGCACCTTTGATTCTGGTATCAGTTTGTGGCTCTCGATCTTTGTGCCCCATCTTCCTAAACCATCCATTCACATCATTTTATACATTTCTCTCCCCACCTGTTCAAGCTGAAACTACACCTTCGCTCCTCAACGGAAAACACCATCAATTAAACAGAAAGATGGCCTTCTTTCTAGTTCTGACAGCTAAGAGATATCTGTAAACTAAGCTCTCACAATCTGGAGATTTTTACAAAATCATATGCCCGTCTGCTGATATGAAACTGTTCTTCTGAACAGAAACCTGATGTGAACACAATTTACTAATGACGTCTGACAGACTGTTTTTCTATATTTCAGAGAACACAGCATTGTAAACATTAGCAATTAACTTCCCAAGTGTCTGATTAAGGCATTCAATATAAACCTCATGTTGTTTTTGGAAATGATGTATTTAGTTCACTGTTCCAAATGATTTTCTGACCTCTTAAAATAAATGAGTCTCCTTTACAGAACTGAAACCAAAAAAACCCATTTACCTTTAACATCTGAATTCCCAAATGGTGAGAACATATTGTAAAACTTAATGATGTAGCACCTTAATCTCTGGGATGGAAAGTGTTTGCCTCTGCACTGTTGGCAGCAGGACCCTAAACTCTATAATTCCCTTCCTAAACATCTCCACCTCTCTATCTCATTCCCCACCTTTAAGACACTCCTAAGAAGCCTTCAACATCTTCAACAAATGTTTGGGTCACCTGAATTAACATCTCCTTACGTGGCTCAGTGTCCAAGTTAAATTGCCAACGTTAGAAGCGCTATATAAATATAAGTCGTTGTTATTTGTAAGGCCAACTTTAAAGACTTGAGTCTGTATTCCAAACTGACAATTCTAAAACAGTACTGAAGGACTGCTGCACTGTCAGAGGTGCCTTTTATTTTTAGATGAGGCATTAAATTGAGGCCAGGACTGCCACTTCAGGGGGACGTAAAATGTTCCGGGCTGTTATATAATGAAGAAGGGAATTCATCTGGTGGTGCCTGAAGCAATATGATTAAAATCTGGCCGTGATCACATTCTGGCATCTTGCTGTGTAAGAACTGGCTGCTGAGTTTCCAACATTGAAATAACGATTAAGTTTCAAACCAACAAACCCTCCGTTGGCTTTGAGGTGCCTCAGGGATGCCCTGAGGTGCTGGAGGAATTCGGGTTCTGACTGCCTGTGGGTTGTGTTTCTCAGGTGTAAATGTAATGGCCATGCCAGTGAGTGTGTGACCAACGAGCAGGGCAGGCTGGTGTGTGACTGTCAGCACCGCACAGCGGGCGTAGACTGCGAGAGGTGCCAGCCCTTTTACCACGACAGGCCATGGGCACGGGGATCCTCTGAGGCAGCGAACGAATGTCTCCGTAAGTCTCTCAACTTCCTCTTAACAGAGCGTTTGCTAGTGAGGCCCATCAGCCTGGACGCTGTCCCCTGTCTGTGGGTCACTGGCTATTACCCCTATGATACTCTCCATCACCTCCCCTTCATTACAGAATGAAATAATATTGCTGCATCGACCACCATCAAATCCTTCAGTCCTTTATGAGCACCTCGCTTCAAACCCCTAAATTTGAGGGAATTCGAGAGAAGCTCATTTTCTATCCCCAAGGTTCAATTCTGACTGGTGTTTATTGGCCATCTCTAATTGCCCCTTGAGAATCACTGGAGTCAGGGAGGGTCCCGGGGGACTGGAAAGTGGCGAATGTGACGCCCCTGTTTAAGAAGGGGAGGGGAGGCAGAAGACAGGAATCTGTAGGCCGGTCAGCCTGACCTCGGACGTTTGTAGGATCCGCTATGAAGGATCGGATTGCGGAGTTCTTGGAAGTGCACAGCGAAATGGGGCTGAGTCAGCTCAACTTTGTCATCCCTGACAAATCTGTTCGAAGCCTTTGAGGGGGTAGAAAGCAAGCTCGGCAGATGAGAGCCAGTGGATGTGATCTGTTTGGATTTCTAGAATACCTTTGCTGCACAGGAGGCTGCTGAGTACAGTAAGGGCCCCATGGGGTGAGGGGCAAGGTACTGGGCATGGGTAGAGGGTTGGCTGACTGGCAGAAGGCAGGGAGTGGGGATCAAGGGGTCTTTTTCAGGATAGCAGGCGGTGAGTGCAGGGGTCCCATGTTCCGACCACAGCTATTCACCCTGTACATTAACAATCAGGGCAAAGGAACTGAGGGCATTGTTGCTAAATCTACAGATGACATAAAGATAGGTGGAGGGACAGGTAGTGTTGACGAGATGGGGAGGCTACAGAAGGACTTGGACAGCTTAGGGGAGCGGGCAAGGAAGTGGCAGATGGAATACAACGTGGGAAAGTATGAGGTTATACACTTTGTTAGGAAGAATAGAGACCTAGAGTATTCTCCAAATGGGGAAAAGCTTTGGAAAATTGAAACACAATTGGACTTGGCAGTTCCAGTTCAGGATTCTCTTAAGGTTAACAAGCAGGTTCAGTTGGCAGTTAGGAAGGCAAATGCAATGTTAGCATTCATTTCATTTCGAAAGGATAGAGCAGGGATGTACTGCTGAGGCTGTATAAAGCTCTGGTCAGACGATATCTGGAGTATTGTGAGCAGTTTATGGCCCTGTATTTAAGGATGTACTGGCGTTAGAGGGAGTCCAAAGGAGGTTCACACAGAATGATCCCAGGGATGAAGGGTTTGTCATATGAGGAGCTGTTGAGGACTCTGGTTCTGTACTCGATGGAGTTTGGAAGGATTGGGAAGGATGTGATTGAGACTTACAGCATACTGAGAGGCCTGGATAGAGTGGATGGGGAGAAGATGTCTCCACTAGTAGGAGAGACTCAGACCCGAGGTCACAGCCTCAGAGTGAAGAGACGACCCTTTTGAACTGAGATGAGGAGGAATTTCTTTGGCCAGAGGGAGGTGAATCTGTGGGACTCATTGCTGCAGAGGGCTGTGGAGACCAAGTCATTGAGTGTCTTTCAGACAGAGAGAGATAGGCTCTTGATTAGTAAGGGGATCAAGGGTTACAGGGAGAAGGCAGGAGAATGGGGTTGAGAAACATAACAGCCATGACCGAATAGTGGAGCAGACTCGATGGGCCGAATGGCCTAATTCTGTTCATGTGTCTTACAGTTTCATCTGAGAGTAAGGGGTCACCAACTCTGGTGGGATGTCTTCCTGGAGATTTGATCACATGATCCACCTTTACTCTCCAAACATTGGTCGCCTGCATCACTCTACATTCCATTCTGAAAGCTGATTGGATGTCCCTTGACTGTGGCTCAGGACTGCCTTCTCCCGAACTTTAATGTCTTTGCAATGAATAAACAGGTGTAACCTCAGGGAGCCAGCTGGAGCAGGGCCGTCCTGGCATTCTGGGTCAGTGTTGTCGTCCTGGGCTGAAAGACGGGAGGTGCCTCTCCTTCATGGTCCGCGTGAGGTTGGGACAGTCTGGAGTTTTTGTTGGCACGGTCATTGGGAACGGGCAGTCTGGGTCACGGAGAGTGGACAGTGAACAGAGTAATTAGTCCCTGCTTTCCTGCTTTCTCCCCTCCACAGCCTGCAACTGCAGTGGGAGATCGGAGCAGTGTTCCTTCAACATGGATCTGTACCGTCGGACTGGCCATGGGGGATGGTGTCAGAACTGCAGGGATAACACAGCAGGTCCCCACTGTGAGACATGCAAGGAGCATTTCTACAGGAGGAACGCTGATGAGATCTGCCAGCCTTGTAACTGCAGTGTTGTGGGTGAGTGTCAAAGACACCTTTGTGTAGGGGACACCGGGTAACAGTCCCGGAGCGGAGGGGGGAGGGGAATCGGAGTATCCCAATCCCAATCCCAGGGGGGCCCTGAGGTGGAAGAGCCAATGGGAGATTTAGGATTGAGAGGAGGAATGTTGAAGCGTGCGGGTTTGAATTCTGGCCGCTGGGACGACACATCAAGAAGCATTAACCTCCAAGGGCTGACAGAGTCTTTCTCCAAAAAGGGTTTGATGGGGTAGATGTGGAGAAGATGTGGTTAGATCCAAATCTGAAGGTGATGAATACAGAATCCCTACAGTGTGGAAGCAGGCACTTCGGCCCATCGGGTCCACACTGACCCTCCGAGGAGCATTCCATTCCCCTACCCCATCCCTGTAACCGGACATTTCCCATGGTCAATCCACCTCACCTGCACATCTTTGGACTGTGGGAGGAGCATCACGGTGGCTCAGTGGTTAGCACTGCTGCCTCCCAGCGCCAGGGACCCAGGTTCAATCCCACTCTCGGGCGACTGTCTGTACGGAGTTTGCACATTCTCCCCGTGTCTGCATGGGTTTCCTCCGGGTTGTCCAGTTTCCTCCCACAGTCCAAAGATGTGCAGGTTAAGGTGGATTGATAAAGTAGGGTTGGTGGGTCTGGGTGGGATGCTCTTCAGGGGGTCAATATGGACTTGATGGGCTAAATGGACTGCTTCCACACTGTAGGGATACTATGAAACTGGAGCACCCGGAGGAAACCCACGCAGACACGGGGAGAATGTGCAAACTCCGCACAGACAGTTGCCCGAGGGTGGAATCGAACCTGGGTCCCTGGCACTGTGAGACAGTCACTAATTAATCCAACAGAGAATCCTGGAAAACCTTACCCAGAGATAGCGAGAAGGCGGGACTCACGATTAGAGAGGGAGTCTTGATGTGAACATTGAAGGAGAGGCTGGATAAAGATGTGAGGAAGAAAGGAAGTGAAGAGTTAGGGTGATGGATGAAGTGAGAGGACGTGAGGGGAGGTTCTAGGGACTAGTTGAGCTGATGAACTGTCTCTCTGTTGCCCATTTTAGTCCCTGGAATGTTCACTCAGAACTCTTGGGATTCTCAGCACATTGTAAATCCCTCCTCTCTCTCTCTCTGTCTCTCTCTGTGATATGGAAGAGCAATGATGTGGAGAGTGTAATTGCTCAGAGTGAACAATGACTGCCATGTTTGCTGGGCTCAGGTGGGTTTGTGCTGGGGGAGTCTAACTTTAACGGTGTGTTCTTTCCACCCACAGGGTCACTGAGTTTACAATGTGACCACAACGGAGATTGTGTCTGTAAAGCAACCATCACGGGGAAAAAATGTGACCAGTGCCAGAAGGGCTATCACTCTCTCTCGGAGGGAGGGTGCAGGTAAGACAGTTGTGTTGGGAAGCGACAAGGTGTGAGCACAAAAGGACGCCATTCAGCCCATTGTATCTGTGCCACCTCTTTAAACGAGCTCCCCAATGAATCTTCCTGCTCTTTTCCCCCATAGCACTGCAGTTTCTTCCCATTCAATTTTCCAATTTATCCAATTCCCCTTTGGAAAGTTCCACTTTCAATTTGCTTCCACTGCCCTTTAAAGTAGGGCCATTCCAAACCACAGCAACTCAATCTGTCTTCAAACTCAACTCCTTTTTTCCATCTGACCTACCATTATTTACTACCCCTTTCACACCATCAATGGTACAATCCACAGTCATCTTCCCCTCCCCCCACCTTCAATGGTACATCCCACAGTCATTTCCCTACCCGACCTTCAATGGTACAGTCCATGGTTATCTCAGCTACCCCCCCTACCTTCAGTGATACAGTCCATGGTTATCTCAGCTCCACCCAACCTTCAATGGTACAGT